TCCATTATATGAAAACCTAATGTGTGAGTAGGTCTACCCTGTGTCTTTTACTTGGACTGAAAAATGAAGAAACAAACAAATTGGCTTTGTGTTGTGCGTTCAAAGTCTGGTTTAACAGCAATAAATCCTCTCAAGTAAAGGCAAAAGTGCCAACAACAAAAACCCTTCTCTTTCTTCCACGTAAGGTTGAGAACCAGCCTGTTATATTGTATTTTGACTAAGGCCATTAAAATGGCATTTCAACAAGCTGAGTTATATTATCAAAACAATTATATTAAACACATACAAGAAGAAGAAATAAGCCTGTCCTATTGTTACCTGTAAGAAACCATCTCAGGAAATGGTAGGGCAGGAACTGACCTTCTTTTGAAGGGGAAAAGAAAAACCCACTAACTTTTCATGGCTAAAAGGTCTCATTTCCTTCTACAATGTTTGTGTTTTTGTAAATACTATCAGCAGGTGCACTAGATTTCAAAAACCTCTTGTCCTTCATCACATATAATTGTGCTGCATATTATATTAAGAAATACAAGCAGAGGAATGTAAGTGATGGGAGTTCAATTAAAACCAGCATAATATCTCGTTGCATAGAAAATGATCCTGCAACTGAAACAGGTTCTAATGAGAGAAAAAAGGAATACATTTCCACATATTTTTAATTACATAGAACTTCCTCAAACATGATTTTTAATAATATATTCCATTAGGTTAACATCATAGTTAAAGAAAGTGCATTTTCTGATTTCATTTCAAGTTTGATTTTGAGCAATTATTGTGTCATTGTTCTGCAGCAGAAAGGTTGAATTCATTTACTGGGTGGTTATGCTAGTTATGATTGATGTCGCTTCTCCAAATGATAAACCAATCACCCCGATGATGTAATGTCATTTTAAGAGTGCTATAATCACATTTCTCTCAAACTGGGAGTTTCTGATGAGTTCTAACAAAGATTTATTGTAGATTAAAGGCCTTCATAATATCAACAATAGATTGCTCATTTGATAGAATATTTGATTAGGTAGTTTTTTCAGGCAAATGATTTTTTTCCATATATATTAAGCATGGCTCTTATGAAGGGCACAGGGCAACACATGGGGATGAGTGGCCCCTCATACCCAAAAAGGTTCATCCTAAACCTGTTGAGAAGCCACCTGTAATTACAGAGCTTGAAGCAAGAGAAGTATCCAATCAGACAAACAAGAGGAAGCTTCTATAGTGTAATTAGTAGATGACAGTATTTAACGTTGTGTATTCATATTCAATATGAATATTTCAAATTTTTCATATTCAACATGTACTTTGAACACTGGGATAGAAATATTTAAAGAAGCAGCTAGAAAAATTTAGAGAAAATTTATAAATGATTGTCGATTATCTGGAATTTAAGCCTTACATTTAAGCATCTACAAATCTTCCTTTTTAACCCAAGCCCAAATTTAAGCAAAATATTTACATTTAATTACTGTCTCTCAAATTCAAATGTCTGGATCTATATTGCTAGGTTTCCAAAGGAACTAAAAAAAATATACTAAAAAAAATCAAAAAGAAAAATAAAGGAACACAAAAAAAAACCCCACAACCAGAGCATGGTCAATGTTTTCTTATCATGTAGATAGTAAAAGCCACTCTGAAAATCTTTCAAGGATAATGACAAGCCACAAAAAGAAGCAACTTTCTCCAGTTTAATGTATAAGTCATTATCTGTCGTATTTTCTTATAAGCTCTAAAAATAAACATTGTGAGAACTAAAGAAAAAAGCGACACCACTAGGAAATGCTCATTATTTTCCAGAGGATCCATTAAGACCCGAATAACTCATGCTACAGAACACTCTGTGGTGATCAAGCCATTATGCATGTGTGCATAGTCAAAGATATTTTAAAAGGACACCTACATCTTATACTCTGAAAATTAAATGTCATTATAAATTATATTACTGTTTATTAAAGAAGTAAATGGGATGTGGGGAAAAAAGTTTTAAAACTTAGAATAAACAAAGCAAAGCCAATCAGAGGATGCCAGAAAAGTTCCTTGGGTCAGCCTACAGAAACAACTGTTAAGCACAAAGCTTTTCAGGATACAAAGAAACAGTGATTATGATTTAAAATGAAACATAAAGAGCTCTTCCATCAAATTTTCTGACTTTTTTTACTGCCACTTCCTTCATTTGGCTTCCTAAGAAAAGCCATGCTGCTTCTCTCAGTCCCAGCAGTGGCTGCAATTACTCAAGTATCCACCAAGCCTCTTTTTTCAGCTCACATTCCCTGACCTTGATTTTCTTCTGCTTATTTCATCCCTCTCCCATTTACTTTTTCCATTCCCCTTTAAAATCTCATCAAGTGCTTGATCCACCACACCTTTCAGACCGAGTTCTCTCACCCTTTATTCCCTCCTTCAGCTGTGAGCATTCCCTGCTCTGAGACAGGCAGGCATCCCTCCTGCCCACAGGTAATGAGCCATCACCAACCCAGCAACCAGAGCTGCTTTTCCATGAATATCCTTTTACATTTCTCTGCCCTAAAGTCCCCTGTCATTTTATTTCCCTGTTACTTGGACTCACAGGTGCTTTTGTCAATCTCCGCAAGCTGACCTTGTTCTTAGCACCCTGCCATCACCTACTTTCCTACCCCACCATCTTCTCTTAGTATTTTAATGTCCTGTGAAAATTCACTGGGGAGCTCCAACTTCTGCTCACTGTCTTTGAAAGAACTGCTCACCATGCAGGCACCTTCCCTCTCACCCTGTGCTAGGTTAAATGCTTCCTTGAAGGCATTTAGTGACAGATTTTGCTGAGACCCTTTTGAGAACACAAAGACCCTTCAATCAGCTGGATCACCCTTCTCCAGAAATGGCTGAACCCTGCAAAATCCTCTTGAATGTTTCTAAGGCATGAAACTACACTGACTCAAGGATGAATTACACACACTTCCCACCCCCTCCCCATTTCCATGGCTTCTGCAGGGCTGTCCATTACAGATTTTGAGACCTGCAGCTCTCAGATCACACCAAATTTCTTAAAACCCCATCAAAAGTGGCATCATATTTTCCAATACACTCAAGGAGCAAGGAAACACACTCAATTTCTGAATTATTTGTTATCATTATATTGCAGGGGTTCCCTATTGTTGTCTCCTTATTGGAAGAGTTCCATACCTCCTTAATGTTTCTCGTGGGCTTCTCCTCACAGCACTGACTCTTTCTTCTTCACAAAGTAGCCACTGACTCCACTTCTCCTCTCACCCAGCCACCCCACTCCTTTATAGCATCTTCTTCTCATTGCTTACAGCTGTGGCTTGTTAAAGTCAGGCCTGTTCCTGATCTTTGATAATTGGCCCAGCTGCAACTCCTTAGGGCTATGACAACTTTCTACACTATCTTTATTTTCTTCTATTCTATCCCCTTGCAATTATTATTTCATTGTGCAATGATATTTTAACATACCTGAACAGGGTTAAAGGATAATTCAGGATGGAAGGAGTGCCAGGAGGTGCAGCACATGTTGCAGTTGAGAGAGCCACTATACACAGAGTATCCTCCTACAATATCAGAAGGCTTCACACATCTTCCCTTCTTGTTCTTCAGCCCAACCCTTTATCCCCTCCTGTTGATGCCCTGCCCCTGTGTGCTCTCTGCTCCCTTTGGTGGGTGCTCGGTGCCCCTGGGCTCTCCCTGGCTCATTGCTGTCAGTGCTGCTCACAGCTGTGCCCATGGGGATGGGGCTGGGCCAGCCCCACTCCCATCACCACAAACTCTGTGCCCACAGGTGCCCAGCCCCACTGCAATCACCACAAACTGGGTGCCCACAGGTGCCCAGCCCCACTCCAGTTACCACAAACTGGGCGCCCACAGGTGCCCAGTCCAGTGCCCTGCCAAGCAGAGACAGCTCTGAGGTCAGAGCAAGTAGCTCAGGATTTCAGCCAGCACGTTCTCAGAAAGCTCCAAGGACAGAGGCTGGACAGGCTCCCAGGGCCACCAGCTCTAACACAATGCTTAGGGAAAAAATTATCCCTAATGTCCACTCAATGTTCTGTTTCAAATTCTGCTGCCTGCTCACCCTCCCACCACACCCAGCCCCTGTTAAAGAGGGTGTTCAGGTGTGCAGCCCACAGTCCCACACCACACAGAACCTCCAGTGCTGCTCAGAGCTGCCTCATTACAGCAAATTTATCCCTTGGCCAGACCAGAAACTGCATAGAAGCTCCACACCTACTGTGTTCAGTTAAATAACACACAACATGTATCTCTAATAATAAAAAAAAAAGGTGCTAGAATAGCTTCTTTTTATTTGTCTGTATTTCTAAAAAGGGACTGCATCTTCACTCAGTTTTTGGCTGTCAAAATGAAAAGTCAGCACCTACTAATAAAAATTAAAATAGAAAAATGAAAAGAGAGGAAAAAAGAAGAAAGAAAACCCTAGGCACTACAGATTCCATGAGTGATAGAGCTGCAAATGTTTTAAAACAGTGGCCTGAAAGACAAGAATTAATTTGCTGAAAAATAGCAGATCTTAGTTAAATGTGACATTGTAAGTACAGAACCAGACAGATTCAGAAACAAGAACAGACACAGACTGGCAGAAGCAACATGCATTTTTTAGATACAAAACCTCATCACCAAATGATATATTACACTAGCCCATGCAGAACAAAGAACCATTGTGTGTACATTTCTCTACTACCAGATGCATCAAGGAGCAGGAAACCTACTTTGAAAAATAAATCCCTCTGATGACAAGAATTCAATAATATTTTTTACACAGCTCCTACCATACTTCAAACTAAAAATCCCTCTACAGTAAAATGAAGGAACACCATCTATGATGGATTGCATTTCCAGGAATTTTCCATTAAATAAACCAGTAAGATTTTCTTTGCCCCATTTCCGTAGATGCTCTCAATTTTCTGCTGATGCAAGAACACATTTGCACACATTCAAAAAGAAGGCTTAGAACCGGCACAAACATGCCACAAACAAACTCCGTATGTTTGCAATTTTCTTACCACTGCTGGAAGCCTGCTGTGGCCCTGAACACGCTCTCAGCAGATAAGAATTGGGAGAGAACTCCTCGTCAGGGTTGGTGTCCATGATTTGATGGGACGTGTTGCTGTCTAGCAAAGGCATCTGGCAGCTGACTGGTGGAGGGTTATGGGAGCTGGGCAGCTGGGCAGAGGGGAGAAGGCTGGAAGAGGACGTGGGTGGAAGGGGACGACCTGGGAGAGAGGAGAGAGGGATCAAAGATCAGCAATGAGTGCAATGAAAAAACCCCAGCAGCCAAGTCATGGCACTGTAACCTTCCATGGGTACACTCCAGTACGGCCATGCTCGGCCCCCCTCAGTCTCCTCACTGGTACCAACCTGGCCCTTCGTATCACATTTCCTGAAATCACATCTGTACATCTCTTAAAATAACAGTAGTGTGCTGATTGGTTTTTTGTTTTTTTAACCAGGAAAATTGCTGCAGCACAGGAATCTCTCAGAGGGAGGAAATAGCCCTACAAGGGCTTTCTTTGAGCTAAGAATGCTCTGGACCTTCCCAGATCCCACTGAGAGATGTGACAGGAGGGGAGAGCAGGACTGAAAGGCAATTAATCATTCCACTTTAAAGATGGGCTAAACTGGACACTCAGTTCTGCTGTCCTTCCTCTCCCATTGCTTTCCTCACCAGAGCCGTAGGAGCAGAATTTCCTGCCCAGCCAGGTTAATTCCAACCCTGAAGCCCAATCCTTAATGGGTATGAAATACCTCAGCCCACAGCAACAACATGGTCTTGGTCACCCAAAGCACTGATATCAATTCAACAACAAAAATGTTCATAATTATTCCTCCTATTCTTTTGTGAACTCTCATAACTTTACATTAATCCATTCCATCAAATACACACAGATGAAGACAGTTTTTTGTTTTTTTTTTTCATTGTGTGGTGGGGTTTTTTTGCATTGCAAGTTTATCTAGTACATTGAAAAAACTCTTCATGAATAATTTAAATGTAAGAAAATATGACCTTTGTGATACTGCCAAAGTCTGTAAGGCAGAGATCCGCTACAAATGTTGAAACACAGCAAAACTACATAAAATGCTGTATCTTTATTTCCATCATTCTTAAAGAAACAGTAGAGAGAAAATACGCACTGATTTTCTCACTGGTTATACCTTCATTTTCTTGAATCAAGGACCCCTCACTTTGTATGAATTACTCTAAGGTTTGTACCATTAAGTAAATATATGGAATCACACATGAATTTCCAAATGAGGGGGGAAAAAAAGCAAGAAAATGAAAAGTTCCAGCTCCCACATATAAATTTTATCTGGGATGCAGCAAAATACCAAAGGCTCACGTAGATACTGAAAACCACCAACTTTGTACTGCCTGGTACCGGCAAATAATATGAAGTACTTTTTTCCCTTCAAAAACTTTCGAAATAAAATAAATACTAGAACACAAGCAAGTGAATTTTATGATTATTTGTTATTAATTTTTTAGCGCTGGATAAATTGTTAAGACTGAATGACCAAGATATTATATGACAGAAATAGATTTAAGCTACTCCATAGTAACTCCCATCTGCAATCTTTTATGCAGCAGAAAATTCAATATGCATTGAATATTTTCACTGTGGACTTGCATTTGTGAGGAAATAATTCTAATATTGATGATAGGAATAATTGCTGTTATTATTCATGATTATGCTATTCTTATGAAATACTACCAGAAAATCCTAAACATTCCAGGGATGTGATTGAGCAAAACCAGCTTCTAATTATTTCTTTGCAACGTGCAGAAAGAAGCAGAGAGGCTGAGGTTTGACACACCTCTGACAGGAACGTGACACTCGTGCCCACTGTGTGCATTTAATTTTCACATATTCTGGCTCGGCTTCAACACTGTGAAGTTGAAAGAAGCAGCTTTATAAATTCTAAATCTGCACTGGCTGCATGTATCATATGGAAATGTATTACTATACTATAAAACTGTTGGATGTGCGAGGGTATGAGATGAAGGAAAAGATTTTTTCCTTTTGTGGAAACTACATATGGTATTTTAGAGCAATTTAGGTACAATTTTGCAGAATACATTGAGAAATGAAAAAAAACCCTCGAATCCTGAGAATTCTTTTGTCAGGAATGCTAATGACATTGTTACCATCATGAAATAATACAGCCCAAGTCCCTGAAGAAAAGGCAAAATGTCTAATTACTGCAGCTCTGTTTGTAGCTGGGAGGAATCAGAAGGTATGGAGCTGTTAAAATGTGGCATCATTTTGGTGGGAAGTTGGCTCCTGAGGAAGATCTGCCCACAATCACGTGCTAATGGCAAAACAGAGATGCCTGTGAGCCACAGAACCCACTGCCAGTCCATCCTTATACCATAAACAGCCAAATTTAATTAAAAATTTTCTTGTTGAGATGGTCTTGGTCTATCAAGTTGATTTTTTTGCATCTACTAAACGTTAAACTCCCACTACAGCCTTACCTACCCTCTTTGAGAGACTCTTAAAAAACATTTTCTCTCTCTCTCTCCACTCCCCGCCCCTGAAACACACAGGATCTCTTAAGACACCCAGATTTATGTAAAATTAGGTGGGAAATGAATTGAAAAATTACTAAACAGGAACAGAATGACTCTATCAAGCTTTTTTGCCCTAAAAAAATTAATCTAAAGGGTAACTATCTGTAGTACCACATTCAAGAGAATGACTTGTGAAAGTCCCAACGTGTGGGGATGCAGTTAGGCTATAAAGAGCATCATATATGTAATTTATTTGTTACTATACATTCGTAAGTGAGAAATAAGGGGTTTGATTCATACTTACATTAATATCTTGGTCAAATAAGTCCAATGTAACATTTAAAAGAACAGACTAAGCTTTGCATGTTCTATAAACCTGTCAGAACCATTCATGTGTCTGCAGACATCTCAACAGTCATATTTTGAAACTTCTCAGCTCTTTAAAATATTCTAAATTTCCCTTGCTTCTCAATGGGATTTGCAATACCCTACAGTCTATAAAAATGGTGTGACATTTGATATCATCATATTCTATTACACTGCTGTTTTCAAAAGTTAAATCATAATAGAAGTTCCTACAATTTGTCTTCATATAGTAATATATTAAGATTCTCTGAATAAGTTTTTTATCTAGGTGAGCATTGACAGAATCCTATGTAACGGATACTTACAGTGACAGCAATAATGTAATTGTGTTAACACAGTCAAAGAAACATAAACCAGATACAAATGCTAGAAAGGGAACCAGGCTTAAAGCTGATATATTACATTTTCAAAAGGGAATTGTATCAGTTCTTTTCCCAATATCTGTTCATATGCATGCTCATCCTGCATATACTCATGCATGACAAAGACTTGTACAGATACTGAATACAGCATTCGTAAGGCATTTTTCAAAAAGCAAGCAGCCAAGAAGAAAAAACAAATTTCCTCTCCTCCCACCCCTTTCTCCTGTCATTTCTCTTATCTTGCTTTTTGAGAGTGAAGAAAGAAATGTGGTAACTCTTCATTCAGATTTGGGCTTGCTTTGGGCTTCCACACCACACAGCACCTCAGCCTGCAAGGGCCTTCTTTACCCTCTTTTCACCTATATTCCATTTTCCTTTTAAATCAGGCTCATGTTTCTTCACCAGCCCAGGAATTTTTATGAAACCATTCCTCAATTACTGCTACACTTTAAGTCCCTAATGCTTAAAATCTGCTGTAGAACCTACATTCAGAAATCAGGCCATGCTCACAGGTGGTAATGTCTCAAGCCCAGACAGGGAAGAAGAGTCCTGTTAATCTCAATCACAATAACACATTGGGAAAAGAGATACTTCAGTTGCTATTAGCCTGAAAGACCACACCATCACCAGAAGGACAAAAAAAATACAAAGGAAAAAAAAAGACTGCCTGCAATCACTCCCAGCATGAATATACATAAATAAGAGACACAATCAAAGAAGAGATGCAAGCTGCTCATCAGCTACTGAAGGATATTTGAGATACACTTTTCATATTCTGTGTTCTTCTTCCTCTTTTAAAGGACCTATAGGGTTTAGTGGATAAATAAAGCCCACATGTGTGTAAAACCCTGGCCTCTACATTACACCATGGTGCAAACAGGGAACAAAAAAAATCCCTGGAATTTAACAATTTTGTGCAGCAATTATGGAAATGTGCATTCCAATATGTGTGTGCACATATTTATATACTTTTTTTATACAATGAAGTATAGTTACCCACACAACTCTGGATAGACATGCATAATATCCAAAAGCATACATTATTTTAAAGATCTAAAGATTAATCCAAATTCTTTAAATAGCTATTTTGCCATTAATTTGGACAGGAGGGAGGATCACAACCTATGTGTTGCCATCTCACACTCCTAAGTTAGTCATTTCAGTCAATCCTGTCATTTACCACCCCCGAGTCCCAGGTGTGGTAAATACTGATGTCAAAGCTTCTTGTATCTGTAATGCAATTCTCAAGCTTTTTCCACTAGCAGAATTTCTCTTCTAAGGTTAGACCTGTGTAGCAAACGTCTGTGTAGAATGTTCAACCCTGAGCATTTTCAGCATGATTGTCATACACCTAGGCAGCATATTGATAACTGACATTTATGACAGAAAACCTTCCTAAATGTAGAGGATTTTATAAGCAAGATCAGCTTTCAAAAGTTTCAACAGCTGTTAATCTTCACAAGCAAGGGGTTATGGTATAACTGCTCTGTTCTTCTCTAAGGATATCTGCATGTAAAGCAGCCAATAAACATAAGTGGTCAGTAAAAGCTAAATTAGTCACTTATATTGTTATCAATAAAGCCCTTTTGTTCTACAGCTCTGGTCAGAAGGACCAGGGCTCAGGTAGAAAAGGCAGACACAAGTCAACATCTCCCTGTGCAATCCCTGGCAGGTTAGATTGCAGAAAAAAGGGAAACTTTAAGGTAATTGTTTTTAAAAAGCAGCTCTTTGGAAGATGTAGTGGCATGCAAGTGTTAATGCAGAAAGCTGAGGAGGCAGAGTGAGAGCAGAGGAGTTGTTTCTCCATAACTGATGGCATCAGAAACACTGTGTAAAATACTTAATTGGCAATTAAGATTTTGACATTTACTGATTGAAGCTGCTGATATTCATGTTACACCAATACAAAGTATAGGACCCTGTGCAAAGTAATCCCATAAAATTATGTTAGTGACTTATTTGATGGACAGGATCA